GTTAGGTTAGGTCAGAGGTCGGCAATCCTGGGCACGTGTGCCACAGTTGGCACGCAAAGGGTTAACTGATGGCACGACCATAGCTGGACTGGCCATCGGTCATAGCGGGCATTTGCTTGATGGGCCGATGATTTTTATTTTTGTAATGGTATAAACAATGAAAGGTGGTGGATTGGCCAGATGCTGGCTGATGTGTAAAAATAACTCAGTTGTTTGGTGGTGGCTATGGCGGAGCTTCCACAGATTCAGTAAAATTAACAAGTGGTGGAGGCCAGCAGGTGGATGAGGGAGAGGGGAGGCAGGACGAGGAGAGACCCGAGGCAGCCGCCGGTCCGAGTGTCAGGTGAACTGAACTTCAGGTAAGAAGTTATGACCTGCAGTCTGTCTGGGTCAGATATAAACCAAGTTTAGGTGGAGTTTATTTTCGTTGTGCTGACTTTTCACAGTCAGTTACAATAACTCGTACTGCGTGAGCTAGCATGACGGAGTTTCTATACAGCTGGGTGGGTGCTATGATGTTACTGATAGTGAACTTTTTATTCATAAGGTTAGTAGAGTTGCCAGCCGTCCCGTAAAAAGACGGAATCGTCCCTCATTCAGAGAAAATATTATGCGTTTCGTGTTGAGCTGAGAAGAGACGCAGTTTGTCCGTACTTCAGCTAGAATGGAAAAAGAAACAAAGGTGGATTTATTCTGTCGTTACGCTGCACAGCTGCCTCTTCTTCTCTCATTCTCTCCCCTCTCTCTCCTGTTGCTACTTTAATCATGAAACTGATCAATGATCAGCTGATCATCTTTCTCTCTTGTTTGTTTATCGCCCACTTTGCGCCAGAAAGAGGAAACCAGCAGATGTCGCACTAAACAACAGCAGCACATTTAAGCTTGATCAGCTGTTGTTAGAATTTATTTAATATTAATTTCTAGTGTCAGCTGAGGTTTGCTGGAGCCACAGCTGTAATGCTGCTGGTCAGGATGTCAGTTTGTATACCTGGTGAGAGGGAAACATGAAGATGAAACCAGGAGATGTCCTTACTGAATCATCAGAGCTGAACAGGTGATGGAGAAACAGGTTTACCTTTTAGGTGACATGAATGAGTTGAAGGGAAGTTATGAACTGTTTATGAACTGTATTTGGCTCTACATATCTGTGTGAGCAGATTTTCTCTCACATGAGTCCTCAGGTAGCCCTCTGAATGCTGGACACTTGGAGACCTGTGTTTCTGAATGGGAGACCAGAGATCCCATTAACATGTGTATCTCTGTATTAACAGATATGCCATATTGGCCCAGTTTATTTTGCTTATCATTGTTGTGAGGAGACCATAAATAGCATTTGTATTTTCTGTTGTACAGTTCATTTGCTGTTCTTGTTATGGATAAAAAGTGTCTTTTTTTGTTTCAAAATAGCTGATAACTATTCACTGATAGCTGCCAACATCTGCAAACAAATATAATTCTATAAAGTGGTTCTATATATTGTGTAACTGTTCATATAGAGCGTTTTTTTTGCTAATGCAATCATATGGCACACTGACTTCTGAGGAAATTTTAAATGGCACTCGCCATCAGAAAGGTTGCCGACCCCTGGGTTAGGTTGTCTTACCCTGCTCTCAGACTGTATAATGGAAATTCAGAATTTTCCACCTTTAAATAAAAAAGGTTAACAAAGTTTAAATTGAATTGTTACACAAAGGTTGTTTAACGATCTTGTGTGTGTGTGTGTTTGGAATGATAAGGGATGAAAAGGTTAGCTGTACAGACACTGTCCTGTGTGCCTTCATCTTATCTATTGTGAGGTCTTTCTAGAGTACCAATGAACAAAAGGTCTCAGTGATAAACTGGTCAGCTTCCCTGGTGTTTCAAAATCTCCTGTCTGACTGAAAAAACACCAGCTAGCTACCTAGCTAGCTAGCCAGCTAGCTACTGACATTAAATTTACATCACATCTGTGGTCAAAAGCAATGTTCCCTCTAATTTTTCATGTGTCTGAGCGAACACACAAACTCCCTGAGCGCTCCCTTGGACCACTGTGAGCAACAGCAGACGTGTGCACTGTGGTCACGCCAGCATCGAATCCATCCAAGTTACATGGTTTATTAAAATAATCAAATTACAGCATTTATGTTAGACTACTTTTAATTAACTGCTTTAGCCCACTTACAGTGAAAATTTAAATAAATCTTGTTCGTGACCTGTGTAGTATGTTAACACTACTGGAAGTAAAAATAACTTGAACTCCAATTTTGAAAACACAACTTTCTTTTTTCTTTTCTTTTATAAAGCTCTGACCTGTATTATGAGTCTGAGTCTGTGGTCTGGGAGAGAGTCCTGTAACTCTCTGTCTGCAAAATACAGTATATAAAGACCAATGTTGGGCAATTAATTATATAGTTACTTCTTCAAAAAAGTAACTGAGTTATGCAAACAACAAAGTTTTTTGCAGCTGTTTACCTAAAAATGCAGCCAAGGCGTTTTTTTAAATAAACATTTCAAACTATTTACAGAACAATCAGCTGTTCTGCATCAAATTTGATGCCACACAAATTATTTGTGCCACTACAAAAAATAATTTCTGTCCACTATGAGATAAAGGAGAACAACAGCCTGATACCTGCAGGCCTGAGAACAGGAGATGTGTCACTGCTGTAACACCTGTAACATTTAGCAGTCGCCTCATTGTTCTGACACACACAACAAAACTATTGACTACACTACACACTAACTACACAAGATTTGCGCTAAACGTCGCAAATCTCTCACATCTCAAAACACGCCGTCACTCCTAAAACTTCCTCCCGTTTCTTAACAACTAAATGCCATGTTTTGATTGGTCGACATGGTACATTTTTCGACCAATGGGAAAGGGTGGGGGGTGTTTTGGTTTCATCTTTGCTCACAGGCGGAGAGTGCTTTCGAACGTTTTTTTCTTATAAAACGCTGTTTTTACCGTTTCTCCACGCAGTAAATATAAACAACGACAGTATTGAGGAAGAAAAACAAACACTGCATATATTTTTTTTTATCACAAATCTGGTTTTACGTGGCCTATCAACACAATTTAAGAACTGGTATGAAGTCCATACTTTTTCCATCAATTGTTCCATCTGTCCTGCTCACATCTCCAATGGTTGTCCACATTGTCATTAACGTGGCTTCACTCCACATCAGCCACGCCGCTTTGCTAGTTAAAACACCGGTGTTGGCACATAAGGACGCTGTCATAGCCTGTCAACGACGTGGATTAGCTGCGCATATGCGTGAATGTGAATCACGTGATTGGCTGGACTATGGGATAAGGTGGCATCGTTCTAATCCCACTCTGGAGCAACCAGTCAATCACTGACTAACACTGCAAAACAGAATTGTTAACGTATTTACTTTAATTTCAATTCAGGTTAGAACTTTTTTTTGTGCGCAACGCAGATTTTTTCTGCGCAGAGACCGTGCCAGCAGTGCGCACGAACGCAGCTTAGAGGGAACATTGGTCACAAGCCACAGGTGGTAGTTGTTGTGCTGCTGCTGAGTTTTGACGGGTTTTAACGACTTCTCCTCCTGTGTGGAGGATGTGGAGGTTTAGTCTGAGTGGAGACACCTACTGTTCAGGAGAATACTAACCTTGTAAAAATAATGCTAACAAGGTTAGCATAAATTAAACGGGGCCTTAACTGCAACAGCTAACAGCTAAAGCTAGCATATCCCAACAACAATTTTCAGTAACAGACAATGACACACAAGCTAACAGCAGAAATGCACACCATCAGATAACAGCTAGGAACGTTCAACACAAAGGTCTTTGGTGCGATTAACCTTACATTTATGTAACGCAGTTATAGTTTCTCTTATAAACAGGGGTGCACATAAGTGGTCTGCAGGTGCGCATTTGCTGTTAAAATAAAAGACATGCGCCAGATATGAAGTTGCAACGTGCGTTTGCGTACATATAAAAAGCATTGTTTTTGTCCGCTAGAGTGGGATTTTCACAGCATATTCTGCACCACATCTCTGTGCGTTCATCATTTGTTTGAAGCCAGCTCACTTCCTGCAACCACTTTTCCGAGAACACGCGCTTCTTTTGCGGTTAGGACTTCTTCTGACATTTCTTTGGAGGTGGAGGAACACCAAAGTAATTGCTTAAAGGAGCTTGCTTCTTCGACATCTTTAAGTTCTAAACAAATGTCCGTCCTCCTCCAGAGAATCTTATGTACGCAAACGCGCGTTGCAACTTCTTATGTGGTTAGCATCTTTTATTTTGACAGCGAATGCGCACCTGCGGACCACTTTTGTGCACCCCTGCTTATAAAAAACAGATTTAGAAACCTGACAGCTTACTTCGTATAAACTTAATGCGAGATCATCCTGGCGTGGATGTGTGCCATGCAACTCTATAGAATTATTATAAGTGATGTGGAGTGCGTGTGGAATATGCTGAAGCAGAAATAACACACGTCTGTGTGTGGGAGGCCCCGATCGACTACAACAAACAGCACTCCTGTAAGACAAAGATGTAGTCATGTAAATGGAACTCATTGTTTCACACTTTAGGAGAAAAGCAGATTGAAGCCTCCTCCTACTTACTGTTCCTTCACTGAGTCACTCCGTCAGGTTTCAGATTAAGGTGATCTAGTTAAAATTCCCACTATGACATCTGGAACTCCTGTCAAAGCTCCATGAGCACTGAAAGTCCAGTATGCAGTGAGGATGACTGACACTCACTACCATGTCTCATTCTCCTCAGAGATTCTAAGCAGTCAATAATTCATCAGGAAGGTATACTCTCATGTAAGGGTGCAAGGTACAGCATGGAGTGGAAACTTTCTCCCTCTTCCCACCCTCAGTTTGTCATTTCTTTCTCAACCTACAGACAGTCCCTTCCCCATCTCTTCCTTGTTCTCCCTCCTTCACTCAC